AGTCTTTCTTCTCTTTTTCTAACAAACATTACTTATCATGGCCGGAAGAAGTAATAACTGTAGTAGTAATATACATCTCTCTTTTTTCCTTTCTTTTGGAGGTTATAGACCATGGTGTTTTTAAAAAAAAAGGATAATGGCTCAAAGATAGGTTCTAAGAGGTAAAAGCTTCATTTTTTTTCTTGGAGAGAATAAACTAAAAGAGGCTAAAAGGTGTATCAAAGGATGCCTAATTTCATCTTTCAAGAATCAGTGTCATCCATTATTTTGCCTCGAAGAACATTTAGAGCAAGTTCTAGAAAAATTATTGAGTATGTCTTCTTGTGATAATAACTTTTCTCAATTCCTTTGATCTCGCGAGTTGGAGACGCTAGTTTTTGCCTTCACAAAATTAAAGTCATGGGCATGGAATTAATATGATGATGAAAAAAAGACTTAATATTTGAGCACAATAGAAAGAATTTATTTTACTAATTAAAAACCTACATCAACACAATCATTTAAGAAGAAAAAATTTATTATAACATTATACAATATATATATATATATATATATAAATACATAAAGTACTAAAGAAATTTTGAAAAAATAAATTAAAAATCTTTTTTACTTTCAAATTTACAGTCACAGAAGAAAGCTTAAAAGAAACTGTGACACACATATTCTATGTGTAATAGACTGGATTAATTTAACACCTTAACAGTCATAGGGTCAGGGTTTAAATATAAACCAAAATTTACCCGTGCCATCATTTCAATTGCATCATTAAATAGTTAACTAATCGGTCACTTAGGCATACCGGTTACCATGAAGTTGCTCCTGTATAGGTGGATCTGTTTTTGTAGAGACCTTTATGAGATGTTCCGATTATACAATAATCTGGATATTAACCAGATCAATTAGTTAAGCATTTAATTATTCAAATCTATGTTGGACTTATGAGGCTCCATTGCTTCACCCTCAATGGCTACGGGTAAGGAAATTGTAGTTCTGAATTTAATGTCGTCAGCTCGACTTATTAACAGCGGAATGTATTAGGCTATCAAAGTTACCGATGGTTGTTGCTCAAAATGGCCTCCAAAATACAACATTAACTTGTGACCATTTACCTTAAATTTGTCTCCTCCATTGATCTGTTGAATTTTAATTTCCCCATATGGAGTAACATCTGTAACATTATAAGGACCTGTCCACCTGGATTTTAATTTCCCTGGAAATAGCCTCAGCCCCGGCTCCTCTGCTTACAGTCAAGTGGCTTTCAGCTCCTCTCCCAGACCTATTGATCGAGGAGCTCGGGAATGGAGAAAAAGAAAGACGTGCTATTATAAAGAAGTACTTGATCTCCAATTTTGAAACTTTTTTGTCGGATAAAATTGTCATGCCATATTTTTGTTTTTTCTTTGAATATTCTGGCATTTTTATAAGCTTCCAACCTCAGTTCTTCTAATTCATTAACCAAAAAAAATCTCTTTTTACCAACACAGGTTAATTCAAAATTTAATGCTTTCAGTGCCCAAAAAGCTTTGTGTTCTAATTCAGCTGGCAAATGGCAAGCCTTTCCAAAGACTAATTTATATGGGGATGTTCCAATTGGAGTTTTGAACGCCGTTCGATATGCCCATAATGCCTCATCTAATTTTAAAGACCAGTCTTTTCTTGAAATTCTAACCGTCTTTTCAAGAATTCTTTTTAACTCACGGTTGGAAACTTCAACTTGTCCCTGTGTTTGAGCATGATATGATGTTCCAGTTTTATGAGTAACACCATATTTTGATAGCAAAGCAAAAAATTGTCTATTCATGAAATGAGTTCCTTGATCACTAATGATGACTCGAGGTGTGCCAAATCTAGTAAAAATATTTTTCTAAGAAAATCATACACTGTATGAGCATCATTCTTCCTTGTGGGGATGACTTCAACCTATCTTGATACATAATCCACAGCCACAAGGATATATTCAAATGAATGAGAAGAAGGAAAAGGACCCATGAAATCTATTCCCCAAACATCAAATATTTCACATACCTGTATTGATTGTAATGACATCTCATCTCTCTTAGTGATATTACCTTTTTTCTGACACATGTCACATTGTGCAACATATGCTCGGGCATCTTTGAAGAGTGTTGGCCAGAAAAATCCGGCCTCCAATACTTTAAATGTCGTACGGTTTGCAGCATATGACCTCCAATTGCTCCATCATGGCAGTGATACAAAATTTTGGCCATCTCTTCTTCAGGTACATACCTCCTGATGATATTATCTGCACAAATTTTGAATAAGTAAGGTTCATTCCACAAATAATACTTAGCATCAGAAATAAGCTTTTTTCTCTGCTGATAAGAGATATCTTGGGGTGTCCATATTCCAACCAAGCAGTTAGCAATATCTGCGTACCAGGGTGGTTGAGTCACAACAGAGTCAACTGAAAAAATGTGTTCATTAGGAAATTCTTCTTTCATCTCGCTGAACTCAAGGGGAGGGTCTTCTAGTCTAGACAAATGGTCAGCTACCTGATTCTCTGTTCCTTTTTTGTCTTTTATCTCAAGGTCAAATTCTTACAGAAGTAAAATCCATCTTAACAATCTAGTTAGAGCATTTTTTGGCTAAGAGGTATTTTATAGCTGCATGGTCAGTAAAAACAGTCACCTTTATTCCTATCAAATAAGAACGAAATTTATCAAATGCAAATACTACTGCCAGTAACTCTTTTTCTGTTGTGGCATAATTCAGATGAGCTTCATTTAGTGTTCTACTAGCATAGTAAATGAGACGAAAAATCTTATCCTTTCTTTGGCCTAAAACAGCTCCAACTGCCGTATCACTAGCATCACACATAATCTCAAAAGGTTGACTCCAATCAGGGAACACAACTACAGGGGCATTTGATAATTTCTCCTTAAGGGTGTCAAAAGCTATCATATAATCACTTGAAAAATCGAACTTAACATCTTTCATCAAGAGGTTAGTCAGAGGTTTTGAAATCTTTGAAAATTCCTTTATGAACCGTCTGTAAAAACCTGCATGACCTAGAAAGTTTCTAATGCCTTTAACAGTTGTGGGAGGGGGTAATCCTGCTATAAGATTAATTTTAGCCTTATCAACTTCTATCCCATTAGCAGTGATTTTATGTCCTAAAACAATTCTCTCTGTAACCATAAAATGATATTTTTTCCAATTCAGAATCAAGTTTGTCTCTCACATCTCTTAAGAACTAAAGTTAAGTGGTAAAGACAATCTTCAAATGTTTTGCCAAAGAGTGTAAAATCATCCATAAAAATTTCAAGAAATTTTTCAGTCATGTCAGAAAAAATTGCTGACATGCAACGCTGAAATGTAGCAGGGGCATTGCACAGACCAAATGGCATTCTCCTATAAGCATATGTTCCATGAAAACATGTGAAAGTTGTCTTATCCTGATCTTCAGGTGCAATTGGTATTTGGTTATACCCTAAATAGCCATCAAGAAACAGTAAAAGCCATATTCTGCAATTCTTCTAACATTTGATCAATAAATGGTAAAGAAAAATGATCTTTTATGGTAGCATCATTGAGACGTCTATAATCAATACAGACTCTCCATCCTGTAATAGTCCTCGTAGGTATGAGTTCATTATTTTCATTCTTTATAACTGTCATACCTTCTTTCTTTGGTACTACCTGAACTGGGCTTACCCAAGAGCTATCTGAAATTGGGTAAATAATACCTGCCGCTAGAAGCTTGACAAGCTCCTTTTTCACTACTTCCTGCATTGCATGATTCAGTCTCCTTTGGGGTTGAATTATTGGCTTGTATCTATCTTCCATGAGGTTTCTATGCGTACAAATTACTGGACTAATCCCTTTGATATCCTCTACAGTCCATTCTAAGGCTCCTTTGTGTGCTTTTAAAACTTGAATTAGTCTTTCTTCTTGTTCTGCAGTCAAAGAAGATGAAATAATTACTGGAAATAATTCTTGCTCAAGATAAACATATTTTAAATGAGAAGGAAGATCTTTGAGTTTAATTTTTGGTTGAACTTCTTCTGATTGCATCTCCTTATCCTCAGAATCTTTTTTCAGTATTTCAGCTTCTCTCCTAATTGCGGGATCATCATCTTGTGCGGTGCCTGATTTGGTCAAACATCTTTCCATTGAGTCTGAAATTAATTGATCATCTTTGAATTCATCTGCAAGATCACTAATCATGTCAATAGAAAAGCATGAAGATGATGCCTCATCTCCTGAAAATCTTAGTATCTTTTGCATATCAAAAATGACTCTTTCTTCATCAACTCTCAAGATTAGTTGCCCTTGATGAACATCTATGATTTCTCTTCCTGTAGCAAGAAATGGTCTACCCAAAATTATTGGTTCATCAGGACATTCTTTCATTTCAAGTACTATAAAATCTACAGGAAAAACAAACTTATCTACTCTTACAAGCACATTTTCAATTATTCCCTTAGGTCTCTTAGTACTTTGATCTGCAAACTGAAGAGAAACACCTATGTCCTTCATTTCACCAAGATCCAATTTTCTAAAGATAGAAAATGACATCAAATTTATTGAAGCTCCAGCGCAAAGTGCTTTTTCAAAATATACACCTCCCAAAGTGCATGGAATGGTAAAACTGCCAGGATCACCAAGTTTTTGTGGTAGCTTATTTTGAAGTATAGTACTGCATTTTTTAGTAAGCATTACCATATAAACTTCTTCTAATTTCCTTTTACTTGACAAAATTTCTTTTAAAAATTTAGCATATGAAGGCATTTGCAACAAAGCATCAGTAAAAGGAATATTAATATGAATCTGTTTTAAGATTTCCAAAAACTTTGCAAATTGACCATCAAGCTTTTCTCGTTTCATTTTTGTGGAAAAGGAATTGTCACAGGTGGGGCAACCATTTTTTCAGAAATTTTTTATTCCTTATTCTTTATTTCTTTTTCCTTTGATGGTTCAGATGGTTTTTCAAAATTCTTACTCTTGTCTACCTGTTGTTCTGTCTGGTTCTTTTTTTGTCAGTCTGCATAAGGTTCATCAAGTTCCTTACCTGACCGTAAAGTGATGGCCTTAAGGTACTCTTTTGGATTTTTCTCTGTATTGCTTGGTAAGGGACCCTGAATCTTTTCTGACACAAGAGCTGCCAATTGGCCTAAATGAATTTCCAGATTTTTGAGGGATGAATTTTGGGTTTCCATCTTTTCATTAGTGACCTTAATATACTTGTACAAAAGGTCATCAAGACTTGGATGAGCTTGTTGGGGCCTCTGCTGGTATGACCCTGCTTGTTGATATGGTCCTGCTTGCTGATAAGGTCTGTAACTTGGTTGCCCACGATTTTGATTCTGGTATCCCGGCGGACCTTGTACATGTTGTTTCTGGAAGCTTTGAGAGTTTTCTGCACCATTTGGGTTATTCCACTGAAATCCTGGATGCTTCTGTGCCATTGGACTCCCAAAAGGATATGGCTTGTAACCGATGACATTAATATATTCACCCGTTTGATTGGTTGCTTGACATTCATGGTTTTGGTGGTTTCCTTCGCACATGTCACAAGCCTCAGATTAGTTTGATTGTTGTGTATTCACCTGAAAAGATTCAAACTTTTGTGCCAAAGAAATAATTTGTTGCGTTAGTATATTTAAAGCATTAACTTGATTTACCGTAGCAAACTTTTTAATGATTACACGCTCAGATGGCCATTGGATAACATTCTCTGAAATTTTATTCAACAGTTGCAATAATTCCTCTGTGGTTTTTCCTATTACAGAACCTCCTGCAGCTGCATCTATCACATTTTTAGCAGAAGGTTTTAACCCGTGATAGAGAATGTACAATTGCATATGTTCAGGAATATCATGGAGTGAGTATTTTCTTAACATTGCTTTTAATCTTTCCCAAGCTTGATAAACTGATCCAGTGTCAGTCTGCAAGAAATTAGATATGTCTTGTCTTAACTTTGTTGTTTTAGCAGGGGAAAAATATTTGTTTAAAAACTTTTGAGTCATCTGGTCCCATGTCATAATGGACCCTTGAGGCATACTTCGCAACCAAGTCTTGACATCTCCTTTTAAAGAAAAAGGAAATAGCCATAACTTGATGGCTTCACGAGGTACTCCATTGTACTTAGCAGTTTCTACAAGTTCTAGAAAATCAATTAAATGACTATGTGGGTCTTCACTTGTATTACCAGTGAAGATACAAGATTGTTGAATTGTCTGAATCAGGCCGGTCCTGATTTCAAAGAAGTTGGCTGCCACGGGGGGCTTCCTGACACTAGATTCACAGTTGAAGCGATCGAGTCTAGCATAATCCCTAAGGATTCTGTTTGCTGGCCTTGGCGCCACTTCATCAAATTGCTCCTCTACATGGACTGGTGGTGAGATCCCAAGTGGATTAATATCCTCTACTTCCTGATTTTCCATTTCTTCACAAGTTGCTCCTTGAGAAAACGATGTTTGTCCTTTCCTGCACAATCGAAGGTATCTTTCAATTTCAGGATCGTAATTAGCCAATTCTTTTAAGAGCGGGTCATAAACTACTTAAAATTTTGAAAGTAAAAAAAAATTAACATTAATTTCTAGTATAGTACTAGTAATTAATAACTAAACTAAAGTAAATTTCAAATATAAATAGTTAGTGAAGAAAAACAAATACCTCAATATTATAGATAATAATACTAGTAATTAATCTAGTAAAATAAAATAAAAATATAAAACAATGAAACTAACCAGTAAGCATCAGTAGTAATACTAACAATGAATTGAAAAAGTATAGTATTATTAATTATAAACAAAAGTTGTACTAGTGAATAATAATGATCAGTAAGAATAACATTGTAGAAGTACTAATACTAACAATAATAATATAATATTACAGAAAAATAATTATAAATAAACAATAATAAGAAAATAATAATATGTAACAACAAACTATATTGAAAAATAAAAATAAAAGTACGTCGAAGTACTCGCAATGAGAAAAAAATGATACAAGAGGTGATAATACTAATAATAATTACACTAAATATAATGAAGGAAAGCTAATGATAGAAATAATAGGAAGAAGTACTAATATATTTTTTTTCTTTTTTAAAGTGCTGTTACAAAAAGAAAATAATAATATTAATATTACAACAGTAGTTATAGTATTACTTAGTAATTAGTGATAATACTAACAGATAAATAACAATAATAAGGTCTCAAATTAGTAATAAAATATTTAATCTGAAGTAGATATATGCCGATCTCCGGCAACGACGCCAAAAATTTGACGAGGCCAATGTGTATATATAGGATTTTCTTGCTCGTGCTTTGTCAAATTCTAGTATAGTTTATGATATCGTCTCACAGAGATTGGAACATCTATGCTACAGACTTTTAATATTTCAACTACTATTTGAGAGAATCAGATTGATGAAAAGTTTGTGGAATTAAAACTTGTTAAATACTTAACAAAATTAAACAACTTTCGAAAGATTTGTAATTTAAAAGAATTGGGTATTGTTAAATTCACTTGATAATATATTATAATAAAATCTCACTTTCTACATGTATTTCTCTAAAGGATAATTGCTTATTGCTAACACAATTATATCTTATCTCACCAAGAATTAATCAACTAATAACACTCCGTGAGGTTATGTAATTAATTGAGTTAAAACTGGTGACAGTTAAATCGAAATATCCTCTGGTCTGAATTGTGCTAAAGATAGTAAAAACTTCGTGAGAATATTTTTACTAAATCAATATTCTTACGACTACAATACCTCCGTGAGAATTAAAATTGAGGTAAGCAAGATAGCTTACTAATAATTACTCTCACTTCACTATTTTATTCAATAGTTACTATATATTAATTTTGCTCCGTGAGAATTACAAAATTANTAAAGAACTTATGAAGAAATATTATTATTCTAAAAGAAAGACAACGAGTAGAAAATACTAAAGAAAAGAGAGACCAAAGAATAGTTCTCTCCCGTAAGACTGTATATCTTCTCTTCAAAATTTACACTCCATTTATAGAGTTTTCTTGCCCAAGGTTCTCCATAGTTGCAACTATGGAAATTGTAATTGCAACTATGAAAATTGTAGGCGCAACTATAACTTTGCCAAATGAGTTTCATTCTGCAGAGGAAGAACCATAGTTTCAACTATACTTTGCTAGTTGCAACTATGTAATTTGGTTCATGAATTCCAATTGCCATTGTCGCAACTATTGTGCTATTTTTGCTTCTTCATTCCCGGTTGACTACTCAATTCTCACTCTTTTTTGCTTCTTTTCTTTAATTTTCATATGCTCTTCCTCCTGCGAAGTATGTTAGAAAATATGGGAGAACATGATATATTTATTTATGTTTTATTTAAAATCTTTAATATTTAACATATAAAAATATATGAATAAATTATACCCATCAACAATCTCGCTTTCTGTTGGTAGTAGATTTTTATGACTAACCGTTGTTTTCTTTCATTGTTAATCACCTTACTGTCCTGTTGTTTTTATTCTGCTTTTATATGGCTTTTTGGTACTGTCCCTTCTTGTCTATACTTTCATTAATATGGTGCTTATGCTTTCCTGAACCGAGGGTCTATTGGAAACAACCTCTCTATCCTTATAAGGCAGGGGTAAGGTCTACGTATACACTACCCTCCCCAGACCCCACAGGGTGGGATATTACTGGGCATGTTGTTGTATTGTTCAGCAAACATAGGTTGCAAATCCAAGTTAACACAATCTAGATTAGATAAAATCAGAAGAAAGCCCTTGATCTAATTTATCCACATGGTACAGAATAAAATCAACTGAATCATATCATAGCAAACAATACACACAGGCTGCAAAATCAAGCTAACACAAACAAGTTAAACCGTAGGAATGTCCCTGACCAAATTTATCCACATGGTACAGACCAAGTTAGTAGTAATTCAATCGGCTGATCTGCACAAATGGATAAAATTAATTAAATCATACACTGACCATAGCAAACATAAGTTGCAAACCAAGCTAACACAAATCTAGATTAGGCAAATTACAAGAAACACCTTGATCTAATTTATCCACATGGTACAAACCGAGTTAGTATTAATTCAGTTCAGCTGATTTGCAGCTCAAACTTGCAGTGTGCTGCTTCTTTTTCTTAGAGTGTTGAGTCACAAGATGCGAAATCCGAGCAAAACCAAACTTCTTTCTTTTTGCAGGGAGATGATGCTTATGTCCATTCTCCTTCTCATCCTTCCGACTTAACTGCACCTCACCAGTTGGTTTCCCAAGCATCTGGGCCAGCGACAATGTATGCTTTCCAACCTTTTTTCTTCCATTCTCAAACTCTTCAGTCAAAAGCAACTTCTTGTTCAATATTTGCCCTATTGATAGAGTTGGCTTTACAACTGGTTTTAACTCATCATTGACAAGCGTCAGGCCATTGACATCAACTAGGACAGAATCTTTCCTATGCTGAGATGAGGAAGGATTTTTAAACTTGGTCGAGTTCTGTACAGAACGTCTTCTCTGGCCATTTTCAGACCTCCATTTGCGCAGAGCTTCTTCGATCGCTAACTTCCCTTCATTTGCAGCCTCCACTCTGCTCAGTGCTTCTTCTAATGCCTTCTTACTAACTTTAACTTCTTCTGTAGCTTCTTCTACCTTCTTCAAGATTTCTGTTTTTGACACATTAGCTTCATCCACTAACATCATTGCATCTACTTCTCTTTGCTTGCTAGCTTCCTGTGCATCTTGTGCTTTGGACAGTAGAGACGAGTACTCCTCAAAGGTAAGAGTTACACTGTCCTCAGGCCGCCTTAGTTGCATCTCACTGTTTGATATAGCCTTGATTTCAGCAAGGGCAACAGCTTCAGCAGCTCTAGCTGCTGCTTTCATCTTCTTGGCTGCAACCAACCTGATCTCCGCTGTTTTGATCCTTGTCTTTGTCTGTTCAATCTCAGACAAAGCCCTCAAGACTTCTGATTTTGCAGCTTCTCCCACTTTCTTAAACTGCTCGGTCTCAGCAGTCAGTCTCGGAAGCTCCCTTGTCAAATCCACGGGATCACAAGAACTAACTTCACCATCTTTCACCAACTTTAGCTTTTCTTTTGTTTTATTTAACTCTTCTTCAAGAGATGAGATTTTCGAGGAACTTGAAGATAGCCGTTGGCGGGTCTTCTCAAGCAAGATTCTCTCATTTTCAATTCTTTTGTTATATGATTCAACAGTGGTTCGAATATCAGCAAGATCACTAGTTGTCCTGGTCAAGTGTAGTTTAGCCTGTTTTAATTCCAATAAGATAAAACCTGGAGCTGAAGAGGGACACAGAACCAAACCACCAGTTGTGTCCTGATTATCGCTTACAATATTCATTTCATGGTTTTCCTTCTCTGCCACTTCACCAGCAAGATGTACATCCTTAGCTTCGGCATCAGCAGTTAGTGTAGCAGTGACCTCGGATGCCTCGTTCTGCAACTTTGATTTCAGCTCTTCAATCATTACTTTAGTGCTTTCCAATTCTTTTAATACCTCAAGTGTTTCCTTCTCTTTCACAATCAGATCTTTTTCCAACTGTGCCGCCTGTTCCTCCACTTTTGCAATGTCAACCTTCTCTTCAGCAACCTATAGCCAAGCCAAATGAAACCAATAATTGAACATATAGCATAGAAGAAGCAAGTTAGGTACACTCTTTCAGGACTTTGATTGGGAATATTGGAACTATAAAAATTCATTTAGTGGACCACGAATACAGCAAGGACCACCATTAATACAGTTAGGACTAAGATGTTGGCATTTGAAGAGTTTGCTTCTTAGAATTTAGTCAAGAAATTGCAACACACGATTATGCTATTGTAGCACTTCCACAAGTATATGCTAAGGTTTCATTCTAACTGGCATTACGTAATGACATTCATCTTCTGAATCATCCCAAAACTAAAAGATATAATTGGCTACCGTAATATGCAAACGACAGCAGAAGGCTACACCTCTAATGGCTTTTGGAAACCAAAAACAACCAAACACTTCAAAACCCTGGACTAGGGAAACTGTCATAAATACAAGAGAGATGCAAATGCTCGAGGAAGCAACTCCTGAAAAGCTGAAAAGCTGCACAGGAGGACATCTCCCCACAAAGATAATATCTTTTCCTTGTGGGAAATCAATTGAGCCTCAACCTGTTTTGTTTCCATGCAATTAACAATGTAATAGTAGTTAATAGCAGATTACCTTCATACAACGGGTTAAAGCACACCGATAGTGCAAAAACATCTTGATTGTCAGTGTATTTAAGTAAAATCCACATACATACAAACACAAATTTAGCAGCCACTGCGGCAAAGGAATGCTACATACAACTTACAAGATTCATGAAATATGCAAACATTGGTTGTGCAAGAACTTCAGAAATGTTTTCCCATAAGACTAAATTACAGTATTGCCCAAATAATCTACTTTTTCCATTAAACAATAAGTACTCCATATTGTTTCTTGGTAGAAGGTAGACGTACCAAAAAAGATTCACTTTTTTCTCTAATGTCTAAGGTAAAATAATCACAAATTTAAGCATAAAAACTCTGCATTGTGGATACGAAAATAGACAACAACAATAACAACACATGGGGTCTGGGAGGTAATGTGTCACATTACCCCTACCCTACCCGAAGGAATAAAGAGGCTTCTGAAAGACCCTCGGCTCAAATATACTAAAATGGACAGAGGAAAGAAAAAGAAGAGACCTCAAATGACTTGTGAAGAGTGGGCTTCCAAAACCCAATTCCACCAAATCGAGTAGCAGCCTCTTTCACAGACTCAAATGGAGCAGAAGTGTCAATTTCTGCCCTAACAACACAACCCTTCTCCTCCATTTCAGTACAAGAACTGAACAAATTCACACCAGCATTGGCACTAGAGATTTCAGAAGCATCCATTATATCATAAAGTAAAAACAAGAAGAAAATAATGACAGAGAGTAGTACAAGGACAAAGAGAGATAACAATGTATGGAAGGGAAAGGAGGAGAGTAGTGGGTGAAGTTATCAAAAAAAGAGTGTAAGAAAGTACTGATAACTGAACAGTGTTAGCAGTGTAACGTTGGACTATGTTGGATCAAATAACGACAACAAAGTCTAGATTCTGTAAAAGACCACACCCCTTTGTTGTGGTAAAGTTTATTGTAAAATGGTGTCGTTTCGACTTGAGAGGGAACCTATTTCAATTTTTACCCTCTTTACTTTTATTTCCTTTCGTAAGATAAAAGACCTGACCTTTTCTCTTTTAGAGGGGAATGAGTAACCGGTTTGTCCATAATTTGTTTTTTAGAATTTTTTTTTTAAAAAATTTATATTTGTCCATTAAATTTTGCAAGTTTTTGAAAAAATTTCGAAAATAATTTTTTTTAAAACACTTTTTCAAAATTTTCAGATAAACTTTTTTCCCCAGTCACAAAACTTTAATATTTTTTCAATTGAAATGCATGTCCAAACATAATTTTAAATTTGAAATACTATTTTTCAACTTAACTCCAAATACTATTTTTTAACTTAACTCTAAATACTATTTTTTTTAAAGATTATAATTTTTATGTCCAAACGCCTAATAAATGTTATCAAAGACAAAAAAAAAGTTAGTTGATCTTATCGATCCAAAGTTTGGTAGGCATATTGATGGAAAATAATATAAAATAATCAAATTATGTGCAAACTGATTCAGATAGTAATTTGAACTTCTCACTTGATAATAAGTTGTGTTTCAAAATTTTAATTGAAACTTCACTATGATGATTAGCAAACTATTTAAAATTTTAAGGGTAAGGCCAAAAATGTCCCGGCGTTAGCTTTGACATTATAATATGGAGAAAGGTATAAAGAATTATCTACATAACCGTTGGACTCGAATATGTTATTCCCAACCAAATCTCAATTCAAATATCTTCTAAACATCTTAATCCAGTCTTAATTCTATTTTTTTTTTTTTTGCTGTCTTATTGTTGGGGAAAAGTACCTTGGGTATGTTAAGAGAGTTACTCTTTTTCTAATTTTTTTTGTAGAGTTGCTTTTAACCAATTTTCATGCTGATTTCACTGTGAAGTAAGTTGATTCACTTTGATTATGATATGTTAATGCTATAATTATCATGACAAGGAAAAAGAAGAATAACATTATTTTTTTGACAGAAGAAAAAACGTCAGTAGGAGAGAAAGAAAAAGGGCCTTGGTTTCCTAGAAATAATTATTTGTTGACCCACTAACGCACTAGCAGCTAACCGCTGGTGAATTAAATAGCAACATTAGCGCCATTTTCAAGTAAATTTGATAAAAAAATCTATTTTTATATTTTTTAAAATTTGACAAAGATTCATAGTCACTGCAGAAAGAGTAGGAATATTATAAATTAGTTTGGTGAGAGTTTGATAATTATGTAGCTTTTGATGATATAATTGAGGTTTAATCAATAAACACAAAATCGATGAAGAATCTTTTCAAAAATTGCTATTGATATGTGACTCACCAAAACCAAATAAAAGATTCTACTATATTCTAATTTGGTTGTTTGATTGATTTGACAATCTATATAAGCTCATTTTATATACAAATTCCCCTAATTCTTGTATCAACCAAAAACATTTCCTTGCTTTCTCTGAGCTTAAGCTCATTGAAAAATCCCTTATAAACAACAAACCACCAAATTCAGATTGAAAACCACCCACAACTTTTAAATAGTATAACCATAATATATATCCATATACTTGCATGATCAATGTGAAATGAACAGGTCTCCCTTGACCCATTAAGTTTCAACATGGTGCATATATATATATATATATATATA